TTTTTTTTTTTTTTTTTTTTTGAGGGGCTGGGGAGGGAGAGCAGTTTTTAAAATTGTTTTGTCTTGAAATACAGTTGGGTTGTCTTTGCTGTCCAGGAGTAACTCAGAAGTAGACCTTCCCAGTTCATAATCTGGGAAGTGTTGACTCAGCAGTCCTATCAAACCATCCAGGTCCCAGCCTGTATCTGTAAGGTTTTATTGAACAGCGCCATCTCTGTGATAGTAGTGGGGCTGAAATCTCATAACTGAATGTGTTCAAGCAGTGCTGGAGCCTGTGCAGAGCACTTTGAGGTCACTAGAGCTGCCCACCACTTTACTTATGTTTTCTATCATCAGGTCAGGATCAAAATGTGCTATGATGCAGCTGAGGGATAGTGTATGTGTTCAGAGTATCCTGAAAATGTGCTTACATAATTCCCCTTCAATCTGTCACAGCTTCAAAGGACCAAACAAGCAGGTTTTTTGTCGAGATTAGAATGGTAGTTCTGGTGAGGGGAGTAAGTGGCTGGATGTTTTGTTTTTGCTGATTCTGCTGTTGAAAGAACCTTAAGGTAGTGAGATATTCTTGATCATTCAACATTACTTCACATCCTTCCCCCCTATGGGGAATGTTGAATTTAGAAACGGGGAGGTGGTTGAGAAGGAGATGCAAGGAAAATGCAGATGAAAACTTAGGAAAAATAACAGAAGTAGTCATAGATTAGTTATATGTTTCTGTTTACTAGAGTTAATTTTCTCAGCACTTAAAGAAACATACATGTGTGAGGTTGTGACTGAGAGCTTTTGGATGGGAACAGGATGCCTCAGAAGGGGGATGGTACACTTTAATGTGTTACACTTTTGAAGGTGTATGCTTGACTCCACCTGGCTGAGAAATGACATCACCAGGCATGTGCCAAAAGCTATATGAACATTCGGCAAAACAGCGCACTCTGTTGTTGCTTTCCCCACACAAAAATTCAGTCCCTATTCACAAGAATGTTGTGACAAAGAACCAAGGGCATCTGAAAGAACCAAAGAACCCAAGCCAGTTTCGCAGTACGTTGGCTGAGCTGAGTTTGTGCCAGTGTGCAGTGATGGGTACCACCTTGGGACTGTCTGTGAGTGAGTTCTGGGCTGGTAGGAAGCAGCAGGTGTGGGCAGCAGTCTCTTCCTCAGAGACTTTAAAATTAAAGTACAGAATAAGTACTGCTGGTGTGACATGGGCAGATTAGAGAGCAGTGTACATTGTTACTTGTTGATCTTTAATTTTGTATTTCTAGCCAAAAGCTGTCTTAAACAAAACTGTTAGTCAAAGCCTGCCATTCGGTATCATCCTTGGCTTTCCATCTAAGCAGGTGAACAGGAACTTGTAGCAATGGATAGCCTGTGTGTAGGTGGTCTCCTTTCTTGGATTTCCATGTTTATTCTTATTGCTTTTATTAGCAAGAGGAATTAAGAAAGAAATATGAATAGACTGATTCAAAGCCTACAGTTCATCTTAGTGTCTCTGCTGATATGCTTAACATTATCAATTTCAGAACACATGATTTTTCTATGTTGGTTCATCAAAATCATTTTCCTAATTCCATTTAAAGCTTTGTACCTTGAATGATGTAACAATATACATGAGATAATTGAAAAGTTGGCTAAGGAAAAGTCTTCTTTTTGAAGCATCTATGAAGCAGTAGTACTAATAGTATGAAATAACACCTTGTATGGATAAGTATATTTTGCCTAAATTAAGTAATTAGGCTGAATTAAAAACAACCCTTTTCCTACAATTCTTAAAATACTATGTTCTAGTGTAAAACAGAAATAGGGAGAAGGCATGATGCTTAACTCTATAAAAATCCACAGTGATAAGCCAGTGCATGTCTAAGTTGTACCTCTTCCTCTGGGAATCTAAATAAATCTGTAATGTCTTGGACTCCTTGTCTATTTTTAACAATTGTCCCAGTCAGCTGTTGAAAAGAAACAAGCAAAGTCTGATGTATGGGAGAGTGCTGGTTGTATACTAAGTAGGTCATCCATACACCTGTCTTTGTATCTTTAACATGAAGAGCACAATCCTTGTATCTTATGCATTCTGTTGCTTTTATTAACTGTGGTCTGTGAGAGTTCCTTTGACTCTTAGGGAGCCTAACACAAACTTTGATGTTACCTTTGAGTTTGGCTCACTGCAGGCTTCCTCTGTGTGCGAGGGAGGGAGATGAGCGTGTGTACACACAAACAAACTGGTACTGATGTCACTAATAAAGAAGATGAGGCAGCATTTGGGTAGTCTGCTGTAGGCACTCACAAAGAGCTCTTATTTACATTATATAAATGCTTATAATGACTAAGAAAGATACATGTATTTTACTGTTAGCCAATTTCTCTTTGTCTTACAGCAAGCTGAAGTGCGGTTGAAGTGTCTGCTGGGACTGCAGGGAATTTATAGTAGAAAAGAACTTGTTTCCAGGATGGATCTCTTTACTAACAGATTCAAGGTAAATAAATTACAGTTTGCTGGTTTTTTAAGTCTAGGTTGGGTGTATACACAGGGACTGATGTTTTGATCAGAGCTGATCCTCCCCACACTGAGAGGATCTTAGACTCCTGCAGAAACAGCCTTGTTGACTGAATAGATGGAGTTCTGCAGGGAGGGATGTTTCTTTCTGTTCCTATGAACTCTTCCATTTCACTTCAGTTCACACAAAATGCTATTGACATGCACTGTGGTCAGTTATCTCCACCATTTGTCCAGATTAGCCCAGGTATTTTTACAGGATCTTTGCCAGATGACAAAGATTTTCCTATGCTAAAGGTCCTCTTTTTGCTGCCCCTGATAATGGGTTAGCCTTGTAGATAGTGGACTGTCTGTCCATGTATCACACTGATGTGGAAATGGCTCTCTTGATCTACCATGTCAGTATCAATCTTGAAGAAGAATCCTGTATCTCCTTTCTGAACAAATCAGGTAGTTTCGAGAGCTTGTTTCATGGCTTCACTGACCCTGTACTCTGCCTTTATCATATTCCAATATCCTGACTCATTTAGGGAGTAAACCCTTTACTTTTTTTAACCTTGGCATTGCTAAGGATTTTATCAGCTGTTCTTACCCTAGCAGGGTTGCACCTTCTCAGTATTTGAGTAAGAAAGCTCAAGATTATGTGATTGATATCTCAGTCCCTGTGAATGAGGACATTATTTAATGTCAGGGCAAATCAATGCCTGCATATGGTGGCAAACCCATGGCCTTTGTGCAAAAGGTGTAGGGCTTACCTGTGTGACAAAGCAATTCCTAGTAGTGAAAAATACCTATTACATATCCTCAAAGAACATGAAATTGATTGATATTGGTATCCTAGTAATAAATTACTCAGAATTAAACTCAGCTAACTAAGATTGACCCCTGTTTTAAATGATTATGTGTTAGTCCCTTATCTTTCTGACTACTGTAAGCTCTGTAACCAAATGCAGGATTGGTTTTCAATAAAGAATGATGAAATAGCTCCAGGCTGTTTGTGCTGCCATCTCCCTGTGTGGAGGATGCAGTATAAATGGATTATTGCTAACTCCATCTCCCAGTTAATAAACCCCCACCCAAAATCAACTCCTTCCCCTCTAAACAAAAGAAATCCACACAGCTACACACAAAATACCAGTTTCAAAGTTTAAAGCAAGCTTTCTCACTGGTGGGGAGTGTAATCATATAACCATCAATTAATTTCTTTCAAATGGGAGTTACATGTGCTCCCTCCTATTACCCTTGAGTGTTCAGACTCAGGATTTGTAGATTTAGACACCTTCCATCTGGACTGTGAGAAAAAGGAAGGTGCAAAGGAAAATGAATGTAGAGATTTAGAAACCATGTGTTAAATGGGGAAACTAAAATTGTTCCAAATCAAGCAAGTCTAAAGGTGTAATATGTCTTAAAGATATAGGCCACACTGAAGTGTGCAAGTTCCTGGTTTCATGGGATGGGAAAATTTTCAGTGTTTTGAGCTGTTTGCATGTGTACTAAGTTAAAATATTGTGAATTCTGGAGGTCAGCAGTATTGCTGATATGCCATGAGGTATCTTTATGACTTAAACTCTGTCTTTTCAGCAAGGCACTGACTTCTGTAATGTGTAGGTGCAGGCACTTTACTGTTAGGGGGAGAAACTGATTAGATAATACTTGTAATTTGAGGCTTACCTTCATTTAACATACTGAAGTGCTAGTAGTAACATCTTAGAAACAAGTTGTCAGTCACTTTTAATTTGTAGTGTGTAGTTAATTTCTTGTGAACGCATACATTGCATGTATAAAAATATCATATTACTGCATGATTAATTCAGTTAAAAAATTAACATGCTGTTAACTTTCAGGGGCTGGGGAACTACTTGGTAGTAATCAAGTTGCCTTATGTCTCTTAGGAAATAGCTGCTGAAATAAAAATAAATCTCTGCTGTACTAGTGTAGATGATCTAGCTGTAGCAAAAATACATGTTTATTGAGAACAAACCATGTTACATCTTTTTATTGTCATTTTACATCCATTAGGATCGAATTGTGTCCATGCCTCTGGACAAGGACCATGAAGTAGCAGTTCAAGCCATGAAACTCTTGATGCTTATGTCACAGTAAATAATTTCTTTTTTAATTTACTGTATTGTTTTAATGCCAACAAGATCCAGGTACAAACCTGATGAATCTTCCTGTAATCACTTACTTGTTGGGAAACAGTTTCTTCTGGCAGGATATGCATTACAGTTAAAGCTGCTCAAGACATGACATTTTCCTTGTGTGGGAAATGCCAGTGTTAAGAAAACCCTTGTGCTGAGATTCAGTCTGAAAACTACATTTTTATATCTTTACGTTTCCCTCTGAAAGGAAATTCCACCTTTTTTTAATTTTGGCTTTTCTCAAAAGGAGCATTTGACTTCCTGGGGGAAGTTCCCACTGAAGATGGGATTCCCACCCCATCTTCTGTCCCAGGATTGTCAGGCTTTGACCAGGAACTTGGAGAACTCTGCCCTCTTCCCTGTCTTTGCACCTGATGCAGGAAGCTTTGAGCCTGTTGCTAGAATTTGGACTTTCAGATTCTTGGCTCCAGGGCAGAGAGTCTGGTAGCCTTTGAGCCCATAGCAGACTGACTGACAAGAAATGAGCAAGTGTGTGATTTTCTGAGGTAGAAAACTAACAGAAGAGTTGTTTTCTTGGGAAATTTACCTGCCAGCCATAGATTGGTAGAATAATGGCAAGCTGGAAGTGTGGGGAAGAATTACACTTAATATTACAGAAGTATAAATCTTTTTCTGATACATCATTGAGCAGCATGTTTATTTTAGAAATGTCTTTATTCACAAAATATGTGTAGAGTAAATTTTCTGTCCCTCTTTTTCAAAGCAAAATGGGAATAAAAACTTCACTGCATTCCATTGATAATACAGTTGAGACGTTAAGACTTAGTGTTTCCTCTATCTGAGAGTGTAAGTTGAATTTTGGTGATGCAGATGCTTATTTCCATGTACAGCATGAGACATTATCCAATAGCCTTGTAGGATCTGCTTCTCTATTTAAGTCTGAAGTATTATTCATTGCTAGAGGATCATGTAGGCTGTAGTGGTCCAACTAATATGGTGCTGTAGATATTTACATTAAATTTCAAGTATGTTTGTATATTGAGGTGCTGCTTTATTGTCTTTTGTCTCACTTCACATTCTACTGGCTTGAATGGCATTTTTCCAGGCCTCCTTCAATAGGCACAGCAGAACAGCATATGATGCTGTGAGCACTGCATCCTCTTCTGAAGGTAGTGCTGTTGTTTGGGCCTCACTAGTAGTAGGGACAGCTGTATTGTTCCTGTGTTCACAATGTCCATTTCTACATCCCTTGGTTCCCCATGGTGCCTAGCTGTAGGAACAAAGCACAATGGTGTGTCCATGGATAACATGTCCCTGTGCTAGGAGGAGCAGCTCACCATTGTTGAAGTACAAAGATTCCATACACCAGTTATGGCTGCACTTGTTCTGTATCTGAATTAACAAGAGCTATATTGGCACTGCAGCTGTTTATCATCTCTGGCTTTATTATAAGAGATCATGTTCTCATTAATGCAAGCTGCAGCTATAAAAGTTTGATCAATGTTTCTTTTTCCCTGAAGCAATTTTTTCAGAATTTTGCTTAAATATGGTTTCCAGTGTGAATAAATGCCATCTAAATTTTTCTGAATTATATTTTCCCATCATAAGATGCAATTTTCATAAGTAAAATTAACACATTATGAAATTGTTTTTAATTAAGCTATGTAGAAACCTAACAAATACATTCTTTATTTTTGCTCATCAGTTGCATAGCCATCTTGCTTTCTCCCACTGTACCCCCACAATTGTTCTGAGCCCTGCTGATTTGGCATAATTATTGGAGTGGTGAAAGTATGCATTGGAGACTCAATAAGCAAATTCAACAACAGCTCTTCTCTTTGATAAGAGTAGTTCTGACCAGTCTATAACTCTGTGTGAAGAGAATGCAGACAATATAGCTGTCACATGTACAGGCTTCTTAATAAGAGCCTCCATCAAGATCCTTTTCTAGCAGGGGAAAAGCTGATGCCTTAGTACCTGCAATAGTGGCAGAAAGGACTTGCTGCTGGCACTGCAGAAACAAAGACTTGGAGGGCTAATGTGTCTCAAATAGGTTTGTCTCATAGCTCAAAAGCTGTGTCTGGATATTGAGCAGTGGTGCTGCTTGTTACATGCAGTAAAGCATGAAATTGAGCTGGGGACAGCAACTCCACTGCCTCAAAAGGGATGATAAAGTAATACATGACAGCTTGCATAAATGGCATGGCTACTAGTATGCATTGGTGTAATAAAATTTTTGCCACTTTTGCCATGCTGTCTTGTCTTCTCTTATAATGACTAATTTTTGTCATCTTCAAATTTGGCAACTGAATTCAAGTGGCCCAATTTGGGTTTTTAGTGAGATGTGTGAGACCTTTCAGATCAAGTTTCTGAAAGCTATTTTTAGAGCTACTGGAAAGAATCTCTATCTGAATTCTCTCTATTTGATCTGGAATCACTAATTTTTTAAAAAAATATAGTCTTCACTGGTGAGGTACAGACCTTCAGAACATGTCTCTAATCTTGGAGTAGATATTTTGTTATGTCATAAGTCATCCAGTAATAGCTTTTTTCATCCAATTACTCAGTTGGGTAATTTTTCTTGGGAAAAATACGTTATGTCAGTAACTTTCTTTGACTGACTTCCATAGTTGTCTTTTGGGTTAGCGTAGCAGCAAGACCTAATTGACCATTGCTAATTGGGCATTTTTCTGATGTTTTACTGTGGCAGCAGAGCTGTGCTTCATGTATGGTAGTAACAGGTTTGATCATCTCTCAACCATCACTGCATTCCAGTTCTGTATACACTGACTATGCTGTGTACTACTGCCCCATAAAGTTGCTCTGCCTTTACATTCTCTCTCTTGATAGCTAGAGAGGCAGTGAAAACACTCATCTTTTCAATTCACTTATATGTGTTACATTATTAAAAAAAATCCCAGTGTTGATTCAGAACTCTCTTGCTATGCATATACTTAGTTTTTCTCAAATTTATATTTGTATTTTCTTCTTGTGTATCTCTGTGAGGTGAGATTTTTTCCTTCTTGTTTGTTGCATGTTGTCTCAATTGAATGCAGTCTTTGGGCTAGTAGATTTCTGGGTTTTTTTCACAGCATGATGTAATCCTGAAATGGAAATGAGCGTATGAGGTTTAGCATAATAGAAATTATTAATGGTACTGAATTATGCATAATTGTTAGCATTAATGTTGCAAAAGATCTGACAGGGAATAGAACTAGGAAGGAACAAAAGAGGAAGAAAACGAGTGACAATGAGAGACTAAGGTAAAAAAAGCATTGCTTTTTAGGAAGCAAATTAGTTCAGTGTACCTACTGCTAGACAATTCTGCTAATTTTTGTGAGCTTAAATACCTAAAAACGTAGAGGGATTTTGGAAAAGAGTGGCAAAAGTAATTAGGTAACCACAGAAGATGCATGGGGAAAGGTTGCAGGTGGTGTGAGTAGGGGCACAAACCTACATTTAGCTTGAATATATAAATAGCCCAGGGGAAAATTACTTTGATTTACTTTAGTGAAACGTAACTAGAAATTAAACTGAATTTTAACACAAAACACATCGGTCTGCCACAGTATAATCACAATGTATTGCAACATGCTAATCCCATTGTACAGTGGGTGGGAAAGGAGTATTGTTACATTTTAGTGGCAACTGTATTGTCATTTTGCTGATCACCAAAGTATGTCTTGAAATAACCTGCAATGAGAGCAGAGGAGCGAGAGTGAGATTGCAGAGCAGTTTAGTAGTACATGATTTTTTGTACTTAAAATTTTTATTGCAGACATTAGAATACGTTTAACATACTATTTTTTTTGTTGTTGATAGTGCTCTGTGCACATATACTGCTTTTACAAATACATCTGCAGATTTGGATGTTTAACTTGACTTAATTTTAAATGCAAAGTGACGAGATTCTTTTTTGATTGAGATGCTATACCTTGGACTGTCATAACCATAATGTGTACCAGATCTTACCCTGCACAGCCACTAAAAACAAAGACTAGTGTAAAACTCTGTAAAGTGCATCAGGCATGTTTCTGTTTTACTCTTGTGATTTTGATGGTTGTCCTTGGTGTGAGCAACAGCAGAGAGCTAGTCAGGCTACTCCAGCAGTCATACATTTTGCATGCAGCAAAATGAAGCAAAAAGCAAAATATGAAATCTTTCAACTGGTGCCAAACGCAGAACAAAATGGGTCTGTGATTTCTTTCTAGAATGTCCCAGTTTCTTCTCAGACATGAAGACTGGGACATGTTCACACTGAAGTGCAGAGAAAATGGTATGTCATGAGATTGGTATGTGGAAGGCCATGGCTGTTTATTTTTAGGCACCTAAACACTGGCAGGCACTTCTGGCTTAACCTTTATTTGTTGCTCAGCATTCTGAGGGCTGTAAATTTGCAGCAGTATTACTGCTGTATTTGAAGTATTCTTTGTGTGGTTAATGATTGCCTGATGGATGTAAAAAAGAAAGACACCCGTTTAGTAAAGTAGAGTTAGTGCTGGTGGTTGCAGGTGTAGTCAGGTGCTGCTGCTTGCAGAGGCAGGTAAAATGTGTGAGCACTCATTTCAGTGGGAGTTATAGGCCTAAACCTCATCATGGTCAGAGAGTAGAGGTTGAACAGTAATAGTAGTAGCAGTGCACACAGGTATTCCCTCCCAGTCAAGAAAGGAAAAAGCAGATCAGGTGCTCAGGTCATGTCAGGAGTGTCTGTCAGCCTGTGTTGCAAAGGAAATGGATTCTTCTCCCTTCCTTTTCTTTGCTGTTTGGGGGTGCTTCATTTGCAGCTGGAGCAACTTATGTCTCAACGAGGGAGGAAATAATACTGCACTAGATTAATGTAATGGGTAAATCCCCAACCTCTTAGGAGAAAAAGTTAAAAATGGAGAGGTTGGGATTTTGGAAGTCACAGAATGGCTGAAGTTAGAAGGATTGTCTGGTCCAGCCTCCACTGAAGAACAGCCACATAGAGCGCATTGCCCAGGACTGCATCTGTATGGTTTTTGAGTATCTCCAGCAATGGAGACTCCACAGCCTCCCTTGGCAGCCTGTGCCAGTTCTCTGTCACCCTCACAGTAAAAATGTAATTTTTTGTTTTCTGGTTTTCAGAAGGAGCTTCCTTTGTTTTTGTTTGTGCCTGTTGCTTTTGGTCCTGAGCACCAGGAGCAGAAGCCTGTCTCAGTATCCTTATTCTCACCACCAAGTACTTACACACATTGCTAAGATTCCCCTGAACCTTCTTTCTTCCAGGCTGAGTCCCAGTTCCCTTGACCTTTCCTCAAAGGAGAGATGATCCAGATCATCCTTGTGACACTTTCTTGGTCTCTCCCCAGTCTGTCTTTTGTACTGGGGAGCCCAGTCCTGGACACAGCACTCCAGGTGTGGCTTCACCAGTGCTGTGTAGAGGGGAAGGATCACCTCTCCAAACCTGCTGGTAATGCTTAATGCAGATTGAGATACCATTCACCTTCTTTTCAGCAAGAAAACATTGGTGGCTCATGTTCAATTTGGTATCCATCTGTCAGGGTCACTTGGCAAGAACCCAGCAGTGTGAAAGTCCTTTTTTCCCTAGCCCGGCCGCTGAAGAAGAGGTCTGGAATGCATGAAACCGAATTTTCAAGGTTGTTTATTTTTTCTTATCTAATAGTTTCTCTCTGACCTGCTGAGGTCCAGCTAGCACAGAAGCCATCGCAGTCTCCTTCTCACCCCAGGTGGCTCCCACATTATATACCCAAAATTACATGTACCATGTTTACAGTTCCCGTACCAATACCTGAAATCTACGTTGGACAATGTGTCCCTATCCTAAACCAATAGAAAAGTGTCACCATCACACCAAGACATGGAAGATGAGAAGAAGGAAGAAGAAGCTAGGGCATGCCCAGATTCCTTCATCTTGTACCCCTGAATTTCATTCTAAAAATCCCAAAATTCTACTTTTCCACCCTGTGTCAATTTCTCTATTACACTACTCCAACCCTTTTTGCTTGTAATTCCTCATATAAGGTCGGCAGCCTTTCCCATGGGCTGAAATAGAAGTTTTTGATTTGCTGCAAAGGTTCCTGGGCTCTTTGCCAGGGGCTCAAGTCATCCAGGGCAGCCAGAGGGATACTCTGGACTCTGACATCCACCAGCATTCCCAGGTTCTTTTCTAAGGATAGAAAATACCTATGGAAAAGCAGTTTCATTAGTACTGGAAAGGAAGGGTCCTTAATTTCTGTCCAGAGAGATAGGTATTGCTGAGCTCTTCAAGCTATCTGAACAATTTAGTCAAGGAACTCTTTTAAAATATAAACATTTTTAGATATTGCATTCATTATTTCTATAAATATGCTAAAAAGAGAAAACCTGAAATATAAAGAAGAAAAAAATTAAATATAAAAAAACGTGTGCACTTGACTGGCATGTTCATACAGGAGATTTCATTTAAGCATAAGAAAAAGGTTTTTCACTGTGGGAGTGATCCAATACTGGAACACATTGCCAGAGATGTTGTAGAGTCCTCGACTTCATGGATTGGACACATCAACCTGCTGCAGCAGGGGGTAAGAGCAGATGATCTGCAGAGGTGTTGACCATCCTCAATGCTCTTTGATTCTGTATTAATTCAGTCTAGATCACTGTGTGCTGGTGAAATTTCTTATAATCCCAGCTGTCCACTGGTTTTGAAAAAAATATATATAGAGAAAAAATGACAAAGACATCTTCATGGAAAGTAGTGTTTTCAAAGAACTCAATAATAGATTGACATTCAAAAGAATGACAGAAACATGGTCAGACTGCAATTTTTTTTCTGTAAATTCCCCATAGCATTTTAATATTTATTACATCATGTCTTTTTATTCCTGTAAGTGCTCTTTGTTGTCATTCTTTGTTTTACTCTCACTTGTTAAACTTGTAGAAGTTTAATAAATTTGATTATTCATGGCTTCACAGGACACATCACTGCTTATTCATGTGCTCTAATGCACCATAAAACCATATTACTTCTTTCATTTTTTTACTGTTTTAACATCAATAAATACATTTTTACTCTACTTTCCCAGTTCTGTAGATAGTTAAATGAGTGACACAAATATTTCTCTTTATGGCAATTTCTTGATATATATTCCTTTACACTTCCTATATGTTGTATTACTGTAAATAGATTCACAAGGTAATTTCATGTTTAAAGAGTTCACCACAACACGCATTAAGTATGTAAGGCAGCTTTTATTTCACATTATCCTGTGAGACTGATTCATCACTTTTGGAGACATACCATTAACACTTTCATTTAAAGATCTTTTTAATGGATGCTCCAGTGATAATCTCACCTAATGTGAGCTCACTTCTTTTCAGTCAGTTGGAGGATATTCTGGGGCTTTGTGACTTGTGAGGATGCTAAAGGATGCAATGGATTGGAGACAAATAGGCAAGCATAGGAAGGACTGCTGATTTTTTGTAGACATCACTGTTAGTAGGAGAATAGCATGAGTCCTCAGTTGTGGAGAGGGTGTTGGACCACAGCTGTGGATGGTTTTATAATGTTACTACTTGAGGATAGAATGCAGTGATCAATAAAAACCCTTTCCTCTCACCTGGGTATAGTAAGTGTAAGGATCTCATATGTTGCTCTTTCATTCTCTGGAGTAGCCTATTCCAGTGACATTGTTGTGGCAGCAAGAAGCAGGTATTTGGAAACTGTAATCCTGGCTTTGGACTTCACTGCTCTGGTACCTCTTCATTGGGTTGTTCAACTTTGATGCTTCAGTTTCTTTCCTGTAAATATATGAATACCATTTCTACCTCTCAGAGAGTGTTCTAGGTGTACTATTTGGCATGTGGTGTTCTCAAGATGTGTATCTGAATGAAAAAAGTCATGACTTTGAATGTGTTTGTGCAGAGAGGTCACAGACATAAGCATGCCATCAAGAATGTGTTTTGATTTCTTTTTACATGGGACTCTAGTGTAATAGAATATAGGTTTTAAAATACGGGAAGAAATAACTTTAAAATAACTTATACTACAGAACGAAGGTTTCTAATTGTTGTCTTCTATGATGAAAATCTAAGCATAAAGGCATGATTTTCCTGTTTTATTGCTATTACTCTTTTTACCATGATCACTAATAATCTGTAATTATACTTTAAATTAATGTTCGTGTCTATGCAGTGCACCTGATTTGTCATGGGTTACACAGACCTCTGTTTCTCTACACAGTGAGTAAGAGAACGCTGCCAATTTTGTTTGAGAGCATTTTTAGAAATGCCCTACAAAAATTCACACATAACTGTGTGAACAAGTTGCACGGTTATGAAGAATCGAGTCTAGTAAAAGCTGGACATAGAATTCATGCTATTCTTTGCAGATAAACCTGGACTATAACTTCCGTTGTTATTTTTGCCTAGGAACTGTGAGGATGTGTTATCAGCTGAAGACTGTGAAATGCTATACCAGTTTGTTTATACCACTCACCGTCCACTTGCAGTAGCAGCTGGGGAATTCCTTTATAAAAGGTATCTCTGCCTGCCTACTTCTTGCATATTCTCATTAGTTTTGGAATGAAGGTGGATTTATTTGAGGGGGACATTAAGCATTAATTTTTCTGCTGAAAGTGTGTGTCACCTTTCTTCTGGCAATCAGAAGAGAAATGCTGTCTGGGGGTAATTGCATGTTTTCCTGTGAGCCCTGAAACAACAGGCATGAGAAAAGTTGCAAGACTAACAGAGGGAATATGAAACTAATTGATCCACAAGTGCCTTGCTATGTTGAGAACATACCCTCTTTCTCTCTACTTTCCCATTGCTTTGCTTCTTACAAGCTAATCTGTCACCTGGCATCTGCTGGATTTTCACAGTTTGGTGATTAATCACAAAAATGGCCTCCTCTTCTCCCTTTGGAAGTTGCCTTATACATTGTAAAGGCTTTGAATAATGAGAGATGCAGCAGATTAAAAAGACCTCCCAGTTTCCTGTTAGATTAATGGAATACAGGGTTTATCTTCCCCAGGAGCAACTCTTATAAATGGGCTTCTTATAACAATGGCTGTGTGAAGTTGTATGGAATTGGTATGCTAAAAAGGGAAGAGACAAATATTCTGTCTTTCCTGCTGAGAGAAATAACCTTGACTTACAAAAATAAATGAAAATAAAAATATTTAGGCAAGGATTTTGTGGAGGAACATTCAGAAATAATGATTTTGTTTCCAGACATACAGAATCTCTTCCTAGTTGTCTTTTCCTGTCTAACTGAAATGTTGGCATTCTGGAATATGTGGAGCTAAGTCCAACAGAAAGACAAATGAAGAGAAATTTCTGTTTTGATTAATCTGACATTACATTTGCTAGACTTTGTACTTTGTGTTGTTCCTAATATGCTCTCATAAATTAGATGTTTCTCCTCTCAGAACTCTGCTGCATTTTTCTACCAAAGTGATTGCCCTGGTGACTTCACTTTTTCTGCCCAGTTTGCCAGTGCCTTGTGGACACTTTGACCCTGTAAATCTTATCCTTGCTCTTGTTTGCCCAGTGCTTGTCTCCAGCACTTTTCCCAGTATAGAATGTTCATTTTGGTGTGATAAGAGATGTTAGTGACACCCTCCTTTTCCTGGTTATACTGCTAAATTTTAGTATAAATGCTTACGCTTTCCACCTCTGCTGCCCCTTCTTCTTAGTTTGCCCAAAATCTCCTCCATGTCTGCATATTTTAACTGAGGTTACTTAGCGGGTGTAAATTATACCAGCAGAAACTCTTCCTGAATGCACAAGCTTTTGCTGACATTTAGTGGTGTGGTCCAGGTCTTAAATCCAAGCTGTTTGGGCCTTACATTAATCTGCATGGATGGCCTTCCTGTATTTATCTTGGGATTAGCACTTTTTGTGGGTAGTAGTCAGAGTCATTTTAGCGAAAGGGGGAAATAGATGTGTCGTATGTGCTTCATACCTCAAACAGAAGAGGAAGAGCAGAGTTTCCAATGTATTTGTGACAGTAATTGCTTCTTATAATTACAAGATACTGTGCTTTCCTTAAGAAGCTGTAGTTCCAAGATGCACTGTGATGTGAGTAGTGGCTGTGTGGTAATATCTCTGCTGTGTTATTAAGGTTTTATATTTGGCTTAGAGCAAGCCTCTTTTCAAGCATGAGCAAATGTCTACATCATTGTATAATCAATTTGTGGAATCTGGAATCATCCAGAAGGGTCGCAGGGTACCTGTGAAACTGTTAGAAATAGTCTCTGCATCCACAGGGATAGCATATCACTCATAATGGAAAGCAATCTGTTTTCCTTTCATCTTATAAAAAAGTCTAATGAGATTTGGGGTAAATAAGTAGGCACTTAAGAGAAATACAGTCCTTGTGATCTTGACAGAAGTAGTGTTACATTGGTAAGTGAGTGTAAGGAGAATGTGGCAGAACTGGACTGACTTACTTTTCTTTTGGCAGGCTGCTTAGTCATGAGGGAGATAAAAAAGTTCAGCCCGAAGGAGGAGGAAAGTTTGGGGCAAGCACTGACCAATTGAAAAGATTAATACACTTTTTCCTGAAGGGTGAGGTGAGAACTGCCCCTGCAGTAAGCCTTTTAAATCCAGTGTTGCATGTTAAATCAATTATTTTCTTGCTTTTGAAAGTAATTTCTGTTGGTGAGCTCTGAAATATGTGGTGTTAGAAATGTTTTTAGTCTCTAGATTAAGTTTTTAATGAAGCCATTTCTGTCCTGCTGTATTAAACCTAATTTACAAGTGTGCAAATGGAGAGAATCAGTGCTGAGGCAGTTTCTGGAAACAGCCTGAAAGACTAATGCCACCAACTCAGGGTTTTTTGGTATGTCTTTCTGGAGGAAGATGTGGATTGCTGTACCATGACTCCATGCTGACCAAAAACTGTAGTTTTATGAGAGTTTTATCAGCTGAAGTGCTGATAAACAGTTCACAGTTTAGCTTTTGCAGTGGTGCAGATCTCTGTCTGGCCAAAGTGTCTCAGGCATAGCAGTTTTGAATCTTCCTGCAAAGAATTGGATAGATTACTTGTTTGTAGTCCTGTAACTGGATTTTGGCTGTTACAAACAGCAATATAAAGCAATAGAGAAACTAGTTTCAGAGATTGTTTAAATTTAAATTAATATTAAAAGAGAAAATTAAATTTTATTGCTGGCTTTTCCTGATTTTTCACCCCACTTTTCTGCTTTGTATCAGACTGAAGACTTGGTGTTTAAATGTTCATTGGCCTTGAACTAAGTATGTTGAAATACTGCATGTAAATATATATGTGAATGTCAGAGCTTAGTCATTGAACAAAGGGAGAGGAACATATGCAGCTGTATTTCTTCGAGTGATGTATTTTCTTCTATAAGCTTGTGTTTTTGATCCCTAGCTACACAAACATGTTACATATCTAGTAGACAGCCTGTGGGACTGGGCAAGCAAATTCCTGAAGGACTGGGAGTGCATGACCTCTCTTCTATTAAAAAATGAAGAAGTTGGAGAAGGTGGGTAAGCAAAGAATTTAGTTTTGCCTGAATGAATCTCCATGCTATTTTTTGAACTTTGCCTTAGCTTTCATATTGAAGTAACATTTGGTCCCAAATTGAGGTCCCCAAGTGCCACAAAGCTGAAGCAGTTCAATGCACAGCTAGTGTAATATTTATATTAACATACTTGTTTTATTCAGTATTCTGTATTTATGTAATGTTAGTTTAGAACCTGTGCAATAAATACTTGTGTAATTAAGCCATAATGCTTATGTAGTGTTCACTTTGTTTGTCCAAAACTTTTTAATCTAGAAGTATTAATAGATTGAAATGCAGTTTTTGTCAGGTTTTTACTTCTTCCTCAAAAGAAAATGAATAATGTATTGAGTTCACTGACATCTAACACTAGAGGGATTTTTTTTGTGGAATTATTTTGAAGTAAATGTAAATAAATCTTTAAAGTCCCTTCCAACCCAAACCACTATATGATTCTATGGATAGTTGTAGACCTGGAGCTGGCTGTGTGATTAAAATCAGTTTGTTGACCCAGTGAGTTAGAGCATTTTGGTACTCAAAGAAGATTTGTCCTAAATGAGACACTAGTCAGTAGGAGACCTCATTAAAACGGCTTGTGTTTTTGCAAGCCCAGCTGCCCCAAAAAGTTTAACCATTAAGGGATTAAATGCAGTAAATGCAGAAAATAATTTCCTTCAAATGAAGTCAAACACTCTCTAGCTGTTTATTTAGCAGCGCTGCCTCTCCCATTCTTTAGTGTCCTTCCACAGTTCTTCATGCAAATGAGTAGGCTTTACATCAGTTGTTGCTGCATCTTCACTATTGTGTGATGCTGAGACTGATTTCCTTCCAGCACTGAGCGATGCCCAGGAAAGTGTTCTCATCGAAATCATCCTCGCAACAGTCAGAGAAGCAGCTGAAGGTCATCCTCCAGTGGGCAGAGGTGCAGCCAAAAAAGTCAGTGCATCTTAGGCTTATTTGTTGTCCTGTCATCACATTATCTTTGCCTTATGTACTTTGCCAGACAGCTTGTTCCTAGTTGCAGATGTATCCTAGGAAATAAAATAGCTTATTTTCCTAAAATGCAGTGTCTTTTCACCTTTAGATCTTATTAGAAGTGGATGTTGGAGGAGATGAGTGTTAAAGGAGGGTAACTTGAAGCTTGTTATTGACAAATGATGAGCATTTTATTCATGACATGTAGCTGTTCAGCAATTTGCATCTAATTTAAGGTTAAAAAAAAAAGCTTCTGGTTTTCTTCATGGAAGAGTGTCTCCATCTTAGCTTGATATGCTTGAGACAGTGCTATATGACTTAAGCTTGGGTTATATGTAAGATTCCACTCAAATCCCAGAGATTTTATAATTGAAACCAGATGCTTTGTCTGCAGATTTTGTCAGTAAAAGAGAAGAAAATCCAATTGGAAGATTGCACAAAAATTACCGAACACTTTATTATGGTGCTTCCTCAGCTCTTGGCAAAGGTAACTAACAGCTGCTCTGTGAATGAATGTTAAATATTTCATTAAAATTCCTGCAATGTACTCATATCTTGTTTTTTTCTCTGCAGTATTCAACAGATGCTCAAAAAGTGGCAAGTCTTCTGCAGATTCCTCAGTATTATGATTTAGATGTTTACAGTACAGGACATCTGGAGAAGGTGAATAGGAATTGGGGTAATTGGTTCATGTGGAATGTACTAAATTTATGTGATAGTGTAGGGAGTTTAATGGGATTTGGAACAAGTAAAAAATAGTTGAAATACAATGAAATGGTATAATACCTTAAGAAAAGTGGTCTTATTCAGGATTTACTTTTTGATTTGGAACTGCAAAGAAAAGCCTTAGTGCTTGTCAGTTCTGATAATGCTGGGTCTAGCCTTGATGGATAACGATTTGTGGTTTTGTGTGGTAGACCCAGCCCTGGGTTTTTTCATTCCTGGCTGGAGGGAGGGTGGATTCTGCCATGTGTCTTAAGTTGGTGTCTCTCAAGAGTTTACTACAGAATAGGTTTCATTCTCCATGAAGGCTGATGCCCAGCTGCTGGGGGATGACAGTAACTGAAAGATAAGAATGGAGATAGTATGTCTGCTGATGGGAAAGGGACGGTCAGAAATGGATAGATGAAATCCTTGAAATAGCTTAATGTCTTCTTAAGCAGGGATGTTTACAGGGAGGCAGTGTTAGGCAAACACTCTGAGGTTAATTTCAGCCCAAAACTTGAACTGGAAGAGAGCGAGTCAACAGAATGGCTCAAGTTACCTCTTCCCACTAAGAGTGAAGACCCTGTCACTGACATGATCAAAAACATTCTCCATTCTCCATTGTTGAGGGAGACAACTTCCATTGTGTGAAGACAGACTTGTCCTTTGGAAAGGCATCTTTTATTCCCTATGTGGTGCTAGCCATGTATTGCTAAAGTAGAACTTAGAGCAGGTGCTTCATTCTTTAGGAATATCTAGAGACACAAAGATGAAAGAGAACTATAAACACAGAAAAAAAAAAGTTGTGTCCTTTAGTCTTACCCCTCTTCTGCTTATACTGGCATTTGTTTAATCTTGTTTATATGACCCATAGGGATATATGGGCCTAGTGAAATGATTTAAAGTGTGAGAGGACTTTTGTACAATTTACCTATAAATACTCCTTTTATCACCTGCAGCATTTGGATGATTTGCTGAAAGAGATAAAAGACATTGTGGCCAAACACTCTGACATGTCTGTCCTCGAGGCTTCCTCCAGGACTTATTATATCCTTTGCCGTGAAGAAATTGCCATCTATAGCCAGGTGGATTGTGCTCGAACTCAAATGATAGATGAGTTGATGAAACAGCTTAACCAGCTACTAGATTGCTTCTGGCAAAAGGTGAGTGGGACTCGTTGAGGGGTAAGAAGACTGTTTCCCTAGGGAAAAAAAGGAAGACAAGGAAAAATAAGGGGATATGGAACTATTCTTTGCCTGCCGTTTCTGCTTGAAGGAGGCAGAACTCTAAAAGATGGGGTTGCACCTCTTAAAAGAATGGTTCTTCACATTTTAATGAAGCATATATATTTTGGCCATATATTTTGGCAAGGAAAATAATAAACAAGGTAGTCCACACCACCAACAGGGCATTATATTTCTTCTGGTAGGCTTTTATTGGATACTAATATTGTAAAATGTGTCAAGCCAAAAGGTCCCCTAACCTCAGACTGGAATTATTTTTTTAATCTGTGCCAGTGTGGGAGAATGTGTACTTGTGAGGAACAAAATTGCTACACTAGATATTCTGGACCTAAGAAAATCCTTTGTAGTTACTCCAGCACTGTGCCAAAGATACTATGTGCAAAATCAGCTAGTGAGTGCTGTCGATCTACAGGTGATGAGGCTCTTCCCAGAAAGAAACAATTCTGTAGTTCTCCATATTTGACTGTACATCAGATGCCTTTTGTGCTATCACTTTGGATGTAGTGAAAAAACTGATCAAACAGTAGTCTGTAATGCAGATTGTATAGCTTTGAGGGTCTTGGAAATAATGACTTCCCCCTTGAAAGAGGACTGCAGTCTCCCTCAAAGCTTTTCATTAGGTCTAAAAAGCAGAAACAGCTGGTGGGGATATGAATAGCTTGCTGGCTGAGCTGAACAACAGAAGCCTGCAGCTGACCTGATCAACTGTGCTGTCATGAACAGGTGTCATGCCATGGTATGAGAGTTAACACTGGCAAGTTTTTATTGGACACGGGGATATTGCAAAATGTGTCAAGCCAAAAAATCCCCTAACCTCAGATTGGATTAATTTTATTGGTCTTAAATAGAGATCTATGTCAATGTGGGAGAATGTGTACTTATGAGAAACAAGATCAGTGCAAGACCAGGGATTCTTCGACTCCTCCATAGTGTGATCTATATCTAAATAAAGAGATTTTTCTCCTGGAACTCCTCCCTTCTAATTCCTGGTTGTATATTTTGTTCCCCAGAATCACATAGTATGCTTGTGGAAACTACAGCAATTGCATCCATGGGAAAGTATTTAATATATTTTTAGCTGTCTTTGAATGTGATCTGGCAGCTGGAAGCAAGGAAGGTCAGCACCATGTGAACACTTAGCTTTCCAGAGATCCTTAACAACTGTGTGAAGGACCATGTTAGATTAATTGCTACTTTTTGCTCTGTGTTAGCAATACTGCAGTCTAGGGAGGCTGCCATTGGTTTATTAATATCAGGGATTTTCCCTTACACAAGATTCCTGTGCAGTTATATTGTTTTCTTTTGACTGTAGAGCAGGATATGAGTAGTGTGGTTAAAGGTAAAGGTTAAAGGAGGGCTGGAGGAGAGTGATCCAAGCTTGTGGGTTGGTTGGGAAGGGAACACAGTCATTCCTTTGGCCCACACTGGCTAATTCCTTTCTCTTTCCCAAACTTTCATGATTTAGGAAGGAGGATTTTGTACGGACGCAGGAGAAATTTCCCAGATGCACTCTACTTTGAGAAGAGTAGCAGCTTTTCATAAGTGAGATCCTTACTTATACAATTTATGATCCCATATACTTAAAGTATCAACTTTACACATGCAAAATGAAAATTACTTGTTGGGTTTATTGGGGTTTTTCACAAGAGAATGAAAATGAGCCCTATGAGAGGTGCTGCAAGTTCTACTTTCTTAATAGAACTGTACTCTTGGATATGGAATTATTTTTGGACTCATTACTGAGCATCAGCCCTAATGTGGCTGAGAAGTGTATGCTACAGAATTGAGGTGTTGCAATGGACACAGGGATCCCCTCTGTGGTACCTCTGTCCTAGCTGGATGTTTTTCTACAGCCTTACTGACAATACTGGTGGTCAGTCTGAAGAGGGTATAGTGAATGCAGTCGTTCTTTGCAGCAGGTGTAATCTGCTTTTTATTTTTAATTTTTTCTGATCTTCTTTTGTTAGAAGATGATTTATCAAAGCCTTGGTTCTCCAGAGATTAGTAAATTGTCATGCAAATTGTCATGCAAGCTAGAACAGAGGTTAAGGGAATTGGACCTTCTTCTCAATGTGTCTTTTACCTGTCCAACCTGCTGGGTCTACTGTGGTTTTGCAAAGAGAAGTCTAATGTTGAGTTGAGAATACTCAAGACTATTAGAAACAGTCTTTTAGAGTGGGCTGAGAAAATTGTTCTTTAGACCTTTTTGGGTACTTGAAGACTATGTATAAAGTATAGCAAAAGATACAGAACTCAAGCTTCTTTTTTCTCTCCTCACAACACTGCAGTTTTGTGGTAGGAATGCAGACTATGTGGTCTAAAGGCTGCAGTGATAGATGATGAAAACTTAATATTTCCCCTTTATAATTAATATTTAGTTGTTTAATATTGTTGCTCTATATTATATGAAGGTAGAAATAGGATACATTTAACCTGATACATTTAACCAGGTGAGTCTTTATTTCTTGCTTAGTGTATCATTATTATTTCTTTTTCACCTTCAGTGCCCATGATCTCACCAAGTGGAATCTGTATGACAAGACTTTAAGGTTCCTGGTGTTTGAAACAGAACATGGCACATTGCCTGTTCTGGTGAGTAGTTAATATTTAACATTGAAAGATGTTTTTCTTGATGAAAGCAGAAAGAAATAGAAAGTATTAAATAATCTTATATATCAGTGTCCTGTGAGACAGGAAGATACTGTATCCATTTCTCAATCTGGGAAATGGAAGCTGTCTTGGGTTATTGGAATCTTTGGTTATTGGTCATATAAATTCATGCCTTTATATGAATTAATTTTGGATCTTTTTCAAAACTGTGATAATCAGGACATCTGGATTGATCCTTTGTCATGTTTAGTACTTCCAATGATAGCACAGTCTAAATTTCAGTACATATGAAATTGTTGGGATCCTTTGTTGTGAGGGACCTCTTTTAGATTGCATGTAACCAGAAACTGGAATACTTTGGATCTATTGCTTACATGTTGACTCTTGTTATAGTGGTTTATAATTACCAATTGTCTCAACTGCAACCTTTTGGTTATCTGGTTGCCTCATCTCAAACATTGTGTGGAGATGGAGTTGTGTATTCTAGGATTGCAAAGTGAAATACTTCAGCAGTTATGAATGCTAACCAGCCCCTTTTTGCAGGAAAGAACCTGGGGGGCTTTTTGGCAAGGGGTGAAGTTTAGTTGAATAGAGAGAGCCTGCAGCCAGTGGGTAGAAGTGGGTTCCTTTAGATGGAGCATTGGAGGACCAAGGTTTGGCTTCTGCTCTGAAGGAGTCTGCCTTTCATGAAAGCCTTCAAAGAAATCCCAAAGAGCTAAGCTAAAGTGAGCCTCTGGGAATACACTTTTTGATATGTGGGTTGCTTTCTCTTGAACTCATCAAGATGTCAGAGAAGTTCTGCAGAAGCAGCACCTTAGTAATGAAGTTTCTTAAGGGGAAATGCTTACTTGTATGTAAATCTGTTAAATTTATTTTAAGGATCTAAATACAACTGGGAGGTGTTCATGCAAACAGCATACAGAATGTCAGGCTTGAATGCTTTGTTTAGTCTTAAGCTTTTTGCTGCTGAGCCTTTAATGTAAATAAAAGACATGTGTTTTTATTTGCAGATTATCCTACCGGCTCTCCAGTGCACATATTTTTCTCTCCTGTGGCAACTAGCTGCAGTTTCGGAACATTCTCCCAAGGTTGGTTACTGATGTAATTTTGAAACCTGGAAGTGTGCTTATAGAAGTTAAAGCTAATTTTCCTGTTCTGAGTTTTCTTGAAAAGCAAGCTTATCAGAATATAGTCTGTTTTCTTGAGGAAATCAAATCAAATTGAGGCATTTTCTCTCTATCGTGTCCTTTTTTTTTTTTTCTTTTAATCTGTGTGTGCTTTTTCAGTCTGCAGGAACAATGGTTCACCGCTATTTTTACTGCAAAACATGTGCATCAAATTCCTAGGGCTTGATGGAGATAAGGAACTTGTCTCACTGCCAAAGAATGTGTTGTTTTCTTGTTTTAAGCAACAAAGAATATTAAATGAAAACTCCAGGACATTCTGTAACTTTGTTTCTTTTTTATTTCCTTGATTTACCTACGTACATATTTCTGTCATAAAGGTTGAGGAAAGTGGTAATTTTCTCATCGGTTGACTATTTACTTTCATAATATATAAAGTACCAAGTTTAGCAGATATTTCAGAAGAAAGTCTAGTTTAAGACACCGAAAAGGAAAACTCTTTTATGTTGTGTTTCATATGTGAATGTGTACCCTGTGGGGCTTCTCCTCTTGATGATTCCTGACTCCACTGAGTGCTGCTTTGTCATTCTGACCCTTCCCTGGCGCTCCTATGCACACAGGACAGGGCGCTGACACGGGCATTCGTGTGAGAAATGCTAGCTGGGACATTACCCATTTGGCCACTGATTCACTGTCTATTCCCGTCCCGTTCCATTCCTGCGTGGATGTCCACACCTCTCACTGCTCCGATGTTTTCTGCCTTTCACTCCAGGCATGGTTAGCTCAACTTGGTAATGGGGCAGCACATTTTTTAATTTGGCCTTTCATACAAGAGCAGATTTTGATTGGAAGCAGATGTGACAGCCCACTCTGCAGGGCCAAACCTGGATGTTGGCAGATAGAGAAGTTCCAAGAGCAAAAAGAAAAATTTTCCTCGACAGCGCTCTGTTATTTCCCCCTTGCTCCTCCCCTAGCAGTGTTAAGACAATGAATTGCCCCACACCTGGTTCTCCTCAGCATGTCCTGGGATGAATCCCTTTTCTTCTAGATGTAGAGCTGCATAGCATGAAATCTAGCTCTCGTGTAAGGGCAGTCCTTTTATACTGGTGGCTCAGAGCTCAGTGCAGTGCAGCTGGGAGCTGGTGGAGGATCAGAAAGTCTTTTGCATGCTTGTGAGCAAACCAGTCTCCCATACTGGATTCATCTTAGCAAAATGTGGTGTCTTAAGTTTATGAGTGCCACAGTTAAACTCTATTCCCTTTATAGTCATTAGTGGAGGAAGGGAGAAAGCCAACTCCACAAGGCAGTGCACATTGAACATTAGGTGGGATGGACCAGAGATTTTTATTACTCTAATTCCATTGTTGTCACTGCTTCATACAGATAAGAAGTGAATAAGAGAATACATGCTGCTCTCCCTACAGATGGAGAAACAAAGAGTTTGTGACTTGCTGCATTCCACTGGCCTCAGCAACTGTGACAGATGCAGTTGTTCATAGCTAGTAAGCTGTTCTGTGAAATGCCAGCTACTTTCATCATGTCATCAGCTGTGCTATCTTAAATTAATAATATGAGTGGAAGAAAGATTCAACTGTTGTTTGTTCTGTAATTCTCTGTTGAATCATAGTCTCTAACATATTGCTCCTTTTGTTTTTCCTAAATGTGTTTTTAGGAGACTCTATTTCCACTAAGAAAGCAGCTGAGACATTTCAGTCAGATTTGCACATGCTTTCTCCACCATAAGGAAAAAGATGTAAGAGAAAAGGTTTGTGTTTTTCTATCACTTAATGAGCATTTGTGCTCAGATCTTCCTTTAAATTCCTGCCCTTTTTTCATACTGGTGTTTCATTCTATTAAATTTTTGCTGTGTTTTTGTCTCTTAGCAGAGAAATAACACATAAAAATCCCAGTCTTCAACTATTTATTTTAAATAAAAGCTAAAGTTAAGTTAGTCAAAATGCTACAAGTTGGTGCTGTCTGCATGAGTCCATCTGCAGAATCAAGGCCTCAATCTGAGTGAGAATCATTGTGTTTTTTGATTAGACCTATCAGTGTACTGGTTGCTATCATTGCTTCATTAAATGTTTTGCTATGACTATTACTTAAAGAAATGGAGAAATTGTGCAGTGGTTCATGTGTTAAAAGAGGGGTATTTCAACATAATGCAGCTCTTCTTCTTGCCCACGGAACTTTGAAAATCTTTAGGTATTCGTGCATGATACTTGTATACACTGCATCCTAACATACAAGTTTTTGAAGAATTTAGCTGGGGCATTTCATCACAGCTGAGGCAAAGAGAAATCTTTAGTTTGCAAGGAAGACGTGGGATGGAAACTTGATTGTGTTTGATGGAAATGCAAAATGGAATTGGCACAAAAAGTAACATGGTCTCTAAATCTTTCTTTGGTTTTATTTGCATGGTACAGGCCTTCATGATACTCTGTGACTGGTTGCTGATTCTGAGTCACCTGTATTCAAATAATGAAGAAGCAGTTGGACTTCTAGGTTATCTTCCTAACACACAGCTTCAGGAAAAACTGTTTTCATTTATCCAGGAACACGTTTTCATGGATGGAGAAGAGGAAAAAAAAGGTTAGACATCTTCATCACTAGAGAAACAATCTACTATTTTTGATATCATTTGTCATCTGTAGAGAGTGTATCAGGGAAAGGGCTCGCCTTTCTTTTGTTCTTATTTTGTGAGTTGCTTTATTTTTTTTTCTGGTTGGGCCCCTTTACAAACAAAAAAACCTGTAATTCTTTGATCTGTACAGACTGTGATCTGTATGATGAAAAGGGCCGAAGTAAAGCAGGGCTGGGTGAGTAAAAGTGTTTGGTGGACTGACTTCTGTGGTCCAGATGATGGTGTTAGAGAAAGGCCTTGCAGTGTTGCAGTGTGTCAGTGCATGGACCCTTCTAAGCCATCAGAGTAAAGAAACAGTAGATTTTGATTTTGGGGCTGTGGGGCTGATTTCACAGAATTATAGACTGGTTTGGGTTGGAAGGGACGTTAATGATCATCTACTTCCAAACACCTCTGCCATGGATTGAGACACCTTCCACTAGAGGAGGTTGCTCAAAGCCCTATCCAGCCTGGCCTTCAACATGCAATGGGGCTTCCACAGCCTCTCTGGGCAACCTGTTTCAGTGACTCATCATCACCACAATCAAGAATTTCTTCCTTATGTCTAAGAAATAAATCTGCCCTGTCAGCTTAAAGCCATTCCCAATTGTATCACTGTACATGTACATTGTATCATAGTAGCTGCTGTTGTAAGAAGTCCCTTTCCACTCTCTTGTTGGTCTTGTTTAGGTACTTGAAGGTGCTACAGGGTTTCCCAGAACCTGCCTTTCTCCAGATGGGAGAACCCCAACTCTCTCAAGTTGGTAGTGCTCTCACTAGGCAAGGTGCTCCAGCCCTCTGAGCATCTTCATGACCCTCCTCTGGACTCAGTCCAGCAGGTCCAAACCCTTCTTATGCTGGAGGTCCCAGAGGTGGGCACAGCACTCCAGCTGGGGTCTCACCAGAGCAGAGTAGAGGGGCAGAATCACCTCCCTCACCCTGCTGGCTGCGCTGGTTTGGATGCACCCCAGGACACAGTTGCTTTTTGGGCTGTGAGCACACGTTGCTGGGTCTTGTTGAGCTTCTCATCAGCCAACACCCTCACGTCCTTTTCGTCAGGGCTGCTCTCAGTCCAGTGGGAAATAGTATGTGTTACTCTAGTACCTTTTTTCAAACATTTGAATGCTGTATTGAGGTTGCAATTATGAAGGCTGATTTCTTTTGGGAGTGTTCTGAAAATTGTTTGTTGTGGCTCTGAGGACAAGTTCAAGTGCCATGCTTTGAAAAAAAAAGTGTTGTTCTAGATTTCTCAGTCTTGGCTCCTCTCCTTCATCTGTTCAGATGGAGTTCTCTGTTCAGTGTTGGGCACCACACTTCCTTAGGTCATGGTGTATATGCAAGAACCACTGATGGGGAACACTGCATAGCTAAAATTGCAACAGGGAAATAGTAAGAGAATCTGAATTAGTAAAGATACAGTAGAAAAGATTGCACAAGTAAGTTGTAGTATCCTACAACCTACACTGTGGGAGTTACTGAAGCAGGTTATGTTTCAGGTTGTTTACGTTATATATCTGAAACTGATAAAATTGATCCCGCTTTGGGTTAGATGGCCTGAGATCTTTTTCAAACCTTTATTTCTGTGATGCCTTCAATTTCTCAGTTCTCCCTTCAAAGAATCCCCTTTCACCCCATTGCAGATTCCTTCCTGAACAAGTGATTTTGTGATGCAAAGTGTGCTTGTCTGTGTGCACAGCTGGAAGCTGTTTCACTCCAGTTTAAACTCTAACTTTCAGATACTTCTGATCAGTCATTTGTCTTATGTTTGTTTCCAGGCCCAGAGTCATTCTAGAAGCAGAAACAATCCACCTCAAAATTATAGGTCAGAGACTGAAGTCTTATGGTAGCTGATAGCTTGCATGTGCAGGAGGAGAGAGTGTGTCCTGGCTCTCCTGCTGTAAGAAACTCCCCAAGCACCTTTGTAGCCCTCCCGTGAGTTATCCAGCTAGTAACTAACTCATGTTCCAGACACTTGCTCTTAATGCTATGAAGTGACTGTTTTTACTTTCACTCTTGTTGATAAGCACTTGGAGAATTTCATTGGAACTCTTGCTGACTGTGTGTGACAACTTTTGTATGGTTTCCAGTGAGTTATGTGTTCTTTTCTACCATCTGTTTTATTCTACCAAAAAAAAATGTGGTTGCAATTTTTCAGGTCCCTTCCACTTGGTGTGTTGGTGCCTTTTATTCTACTTGCTGGTTCAGTTCTGTAGCTGTGAGCAGTGTTGTACTTAGAGATTCTGACTAGTAGAAATGCCAAAGTCCTATGAAGATCAGAGTAGGAGATTGTGGAAGAAGACTGTTTTCAACTGGAGCTTTGAAATGGGAATAAACCTGTGTTTTCTGATGTACACAGGCATGAGTGCTGGCATCTGTTACTGAACAGCTGAATCTGTGCTATTTAGGTGGAAGTTGGTCATTTACACTGAGATACCTTGAATAAAGTAATAGAACAAAGCTTCAATGCTTTTGTTTCCCTAGATCTGACAGAAGAGGGAAAGGATGAAACTTGCAAACTTGATGACTTGCACAAAAAGCGGAGTCTTCTGGCAGCATATTGCAAGTTAATAGTGTATAATGTGGTAGAGATGACTGCAGCTGCTGAGATCTATAAGTATTATGTGAAGGTAATGTTTTAGATAAGGTAGTTTTTTCTATCAGTGCATTTTGGTTTTTTAAAGTGTCTCCAGTGTTTGTGAAAGACAAGGTGTCAATAGTGTTATGACTCAGAGTCCTGGAATAATCAGAAAAGGGCTATAGAATCCAGCAGGAGTGGGGCGGATCTCCTCTCTTAGTTCCACAAAGGTACCTCACTACAGACAAAACAACTGAAAATTGAGGAGAGGACGTGTGTCCATGTCTGTCTGGACATCTGCTCCTCAGCTTCTGCAGAGAGGCCACTGCAGAGCAGCAGTTTATGGCTGGAGAGTGATTCATCTATTGAGATTCTCACACTGAATTGGTCAGCTTAATTCATACAGCTTACACAGTGCATATGCTGGTGTTTACATTTCACTTGAGTCCCAGGGTTTAGATGACCAGGGTTTAGCCACTCTGAAGGGGGTTTCAGGAGGGCCAAGAGCATCAGAGTGGCAGCTTCCTTGAGTCAACTCAACTTTGGAAATATCTGAATATAAATTTTGTTCTTTGCTTCATTGGCAAGCATTGGTAAAGTTCAGAAAACTGTTTGTCTATTTGATGAGGCTTTGCTCTTTTTAAAGAATTACAATTAATTATGAATTAAGAATTGACAATCAATTAGTTGTTAATAGTTAACAATTTCAGTGTAACTTTGATCCTCACATTACTCTTCAAGGAGCATGCCATTACATATGAAATATTATAAAAGATCCATTTTTCATAGTTTAACTTCAGTGTTCTTATATTGGGAGTGCTTTAGGGACTTCTTGTGTCACTTGAAGAGTCACGTGGTTTGTGTTCTCCCAGTGCTAAAGAAGGGAAATGATAACTCTCAGTTGTTTTGTTGCTTTTAATAGACCTACAGTGATTTTGGAGACATAATTAAAGAAACATTAAGCAAGACGAGGTGCAATAACAAAATTCAGAGTGCCAAGACACTGATTCTCTGTCTGCAGCAGGTAAGGTTAAGATTAAAGCAGGAGGCTAGGGGCTCTTATGATAGCTGTATTCAAGTGAAGATTTTTATCTCCCATGCCATAATTATTCAAAATCATTAGAAAACCTAGTGACAGAATTTACTTCCTTTCCTGCACTTTCTATATGTATGTTGTTTTTGCATGTCATAATGAAAACTCCTTTCAAATCATTGCATCTATTTTAAAAGGCGCTTTTTTCCACGATTTTTTGGTCATGATTTTGATCTTCAAGTGCATAGTATGTTAGAACTGATGTGAGATTATGAAGTGTTTCTTGGAACATGGTATCTCTAAGCTTAATGAATATTAAGGATCTTATACTGTGTTTTATGGACTATCTTAATTCCTTCGGAATTTGAGGAGCCATGGATGTGCCTGTGTCACGTCAGCTCCAACCCCCCCTGTATTTTCAGCTTTTTTTTTTCCCCTCTGGAGGAAAGTGGGTTGCAGGTCTTCTGAAGGGTCTCAGTTGCAGCTGCTGACTGATAGCCATTTAGCTATTTTAGCAACTGCATTTGCCAGCTCTGCCCGTGGCCAGAGCTGCTTCTTACAGAGTCCTGCTGTAATCCAGAGAGCAGGCTCCTCCTGGAGATACTGACACATGAGCTTTGCTTATTTCACACACATTGCCGGGGGCTTAGATCTGTGAACCAGCCCTTGAAATCTGAGCTTAGATGAGTCTAAGCAGCATTTGGCTACATATATTCTGCTGACATAGTCAGGACTTTGTGTTTAGGTATCACATAGACAACAGGCCCTTTTTGGCCTTTGCCTGACCTTGAACGTTAACAGGTTGATGAGAACAAGCTACTTCCATATTCTATTAAGAAAAAAAACCCAAAGCACAGTTAGTTGAGCTCAATATGTGCTTTTGGCCTACTCTTACTCTCTCTTATGGTGCTGCCAAACTTGCTGTTTTGTATCTGCACTATGCTACTCTGAAAGCATCTCAGGCAAATTAGGCTTCTGGGGCTTGGTTCAGAAGACCCAAGAAGACATTGAGGTCATTTGGCCCATCATCTTCAGGAATCACTTTTCTGTTTATGCACATGACCTTTTATTTTTATTTTTTAATGTTTGCCTGTCTTACGAGCACAGCAGTGTCCTTTGTGTCAGTTCCTTGTCATTGTTCCATTCAGAGAACATGACATCTTGCTCTTCTGTGAGACCCCTGTCTGTGTGAGGTGACTGTGCCTGTCTCTCTGGCTGCCTGGTGCTTTGTTTGCCTGTAGGATTACCTGTGTTTGCTTATCTGCAACTTCTCTTGCAGCTGTTTCAGACACATGCAGAAAGCCAAGACAGCAGTAATGGTGTGGACTTCTCCTCTCCTTCCTTTGCAAACATCAAAGAACTTGCTCGTCGCTTTTCACTAACATTTGGCTGGGACCAAGTGAAATCTAGAGAATCTATAGCCATGATACACAAGTATGTGCCACCTAACGTCATGTTGTCCATGGTCATTGCTTTTGTTAGTTGTCTGTTTTATCTGTTTTATTACTCTGTTCTTTTCTGGTTTTCTTTCAATAGGGAAGGGATTGAATTTGCTTTTCAAGGAACTACTGGAGTAGATGGAAAATGCTTGCATCCTAACTTGAGCTTTCTGTTAATCATCAGTGAATTTTCCAACAAGCTGCTAAAGCCAGACAAAAGACTAGTGTAAGTTAAGTTCTTGTACACCATCATACACAGTTTGTGATTTGTGTATCCCTGTACAAAGGACACTTGAACTTCAGTGTGGCAGAATTTGCTCAAGGGCTCTTCAGAGAACCTCTGAAATTAGTCTGCCCTTCAGGCTGTTAGTTTGAGACACAGTTGTTGAATTCTGTAGTAGTATTTATTTCAGATTGTATGTGCAATAAGCATTCTAGATTTTTCTTACATAGTTGTGGCCACATATGGCAATTCTTCTAAAGGAAAGGCTGTTAATTTGGTGGAAGAGATTTGCGACTTGACTGGTTAGTGGAGTGGCAGGAATGCTTTTCTGAACAGAAAAGTAAATCAAAAGGTTGTGGAAGAAATAATGCAGGGATCATTATTTTGTAATTATCTATTTCCACAGCTTCAGGCCTCAATTATGTGGATTCCATGGAACATATTTGGAACAGAAATACATGTGACACTCTTCATAATATAGATACTTAAATCCAAGAATTTACTATTTACACAGGAATATGCCCTGATCCAGTGGGCCCATGTTTTACAGTGGTTTAAATATTTGCATTTAATGATGTAAGAGTGATAGCCATCTTTTGGCATCAGTGGGGTATTATGCACCTGAATGGAGAGATATATGGGTATGTATCTTATTTCCTTCTTCACATGCCTCAGCTCTGATAATTTTTGAGATGGAAGTAACATTCTTCTTTTTGTTTGACCTTTAGCATTACTTCCTTAGTCAGTGCTGTTCATTTTGGATACAGATCTCTGCACTTCAGTATTGTAGTTACAGATACTGTAAAACCAGGTATTTCCATTTTCCTGAAAGCATATTTGAAGATGTGGGACAGTAAGACACATCTGCCTTTTTGCATTTCTGAGCGAATCACTCCAATACCTGACAAGAGAAGTTTTACTTTTGAAAGGAGGTCAGCAGAAATGGAGGAAAACCATCTGTCATATCTTTCTGAGCTCTGTGTAACTTGCTTGTTCCCATGTCACTTTATCTTACTTTGGAGGAGAACTTCTGTGCGAGTTATCAACTGGATTTTACGTAATATGGGTCAAGAATAGTAAAATGTCTATTTCCTGTTACTTCACATGACATAATTTATTAATGATTGCCATCTACATGGACAATTCGTTTGAAAAAATTGATTCAAAGATGGCATGCAAAATGCAGAAGAAAAATAATCAACATACACTGATTACAGACCCTGAGAAACCGAAAGTGGATAATCCATGGGTATGGATGGATAACTTAATTTGTGATTCTTGCATTTTTCTCTGATGAGAATTTTTGAGATCTACTACTAAAATTGGTTTTCATAAAATCCATAGGACCTCAAGGATCATCTGGTCCCAACCCCCTGCTTTGGGGAGGAACACTTTCTACTAGACCAGGTTGCTCAATGCCTCATCCAAGCTGGCCTTGAATACTTCGAGGGATGGGGAGTCCAGGACTGCTCTGGGCAGCCTGTTCCAGTGCCTCACCACAATCACAATCAAGAATTTCTTCCTAATATCTCATCTAAACTCGCACTCAGTTTAAAGCCATTTAAAGCTGTGTCCTAGCTTTCCATGCCCTTATGGAAAGTCCCTCTCCAGCTCTCTTGTCAGTTCTGTTGAGGTACTAGAAGGTGCTGTAAGTCCTCCCCAGAGCCTTCTCTTCTCCAGGCTGAATAATGCCAGCTCCCTCAGCCTGTCTTCACAGGGGAAGTGCTCCAGGCCCAGTTTGGACAGTTTCTGTATAACTCTGTCCACATTGTCTGTATTTTAAAGAGCTGTAAGCTTCTGTGGTGACACCCGTGCAGTAAGTAGTTTCCTGTTAAACCATCCTTGAAAAACTCATTTAATTTACCTCCTGGGAATAGTTTTTAACTAAACAAAAGGAAAATATTTAATTGTTGATGGAGCAGATCAAGGCTAAATCCTGATATTTTTTTTCCTAGGACTATATTAAACCTCTTAATCAGAGGATATATTCTGGAAGTATATTCCTGAATGTATCAGATACGTTTGATACATTCAGGTAGGTTTATTCATGGAAAAGTTTCATGGAAAATAACAGAACCTAGCAGGGAATGCACTTGTCTCGTTGCTGCTTTGGGCCTTCCCTCTGCTGCTGGGAACAAATGGGAAACAATAAAAGTTTCTAGAAGGGAAATTTCAATTTATCCACAAGTACATTCATACTATATTTCTAGAATAACAGTTTCTATTCTGGGAGGCCTAAAGTGCCCTGCAGAGGCTGGAGATTATATTTCCTCTTAGAAATATTCAGGTTTAGCTCCATCATAAATTATTGGATAGAATGTTTTAGGTCAACATGAACTTTGAGAAACAAACATCTGGTTATTTTCATTTTTCTTATTAATCATGGGATTGATGTCCAGGTCTATATGTTAACATATGTGAATGTACCTGTAACAGATGAGATACAGAATGTGAGCATTTGTTAGAAAGGACTATATTTCAACACCATCAAAGTATAAGGACTTTGACCCTCTCCCCTATAATTGCATAGGCTGTAGCAGTAAAATACTTGGCTTGTCAGTTGCTCTGTGCCACAAAATGCACACAAGAAATGAATTGCTGAATAGCAAGCAGCATGAAGGGCCTTATTCCTGAATCAGTAGAAGTCTTTCCATTGACATTGGTAGCAGTTGGATTAGACCCTGAAACTGTAGTTACAATACATGCTTGTTTGAAACCAACAAATTCCATTACCAGGGTTTCTTGATCCCTGGGGCCCCCAGAGTCCAAGACTCTAATTGTTTTGGAGCCGGTGCTTACCCTAACCTCCTCTCAGCACTGGTTTCCTTGTTTTGCAAAGCAAATGAAATGGCTGATATTTTCCAGGCCACTCTCCTAATCACAAAAAAAAAAAAAAAAAAAAAAAAAAAAAAAAAAAGAGAATAATATGTTGCACAGTCTGGTGTTAAAACTGTCACTTCTGGTATTTGCTAAGGTGGGGTCTGTTTTAACCACACTGGGCTTGATTTTAAAGTGATGAACTGTAGCTGAAATGTGGTGAGTATCCGCTTCCTAATCCTGAGTCAGACTTTGGTTTTCTTTTCTATTGTTATTAAGTAGGAATGGGTCAGAAAGACTTTGTTGGAAATGTCCTGTTTTTCAAATAGAGTGTTTGAGGAAAGTCTTTTTGCTCCAGGGAAGGTGATTCAGGCAAAGGGATTCAGGAAGGCCCAATGTCAAATCTCTGGACTGAATCAGACAGAACAGGGATGTGAGACAATGTTTCCCACATCCCATGCATTGTCACAACTGCAGAGCAATTATCTGCTTCTTGAAGACACTTGACATTTTACTGAGAGAATTGGATTGAGTTTGAGATGATAATACATAAAAAGTGGTTTAACTGGTTGTTCTTATTTTTAATTTTGACAGAACAAGCATTTATGATATAAAACCCCCATTGTCTCGCCTGTACTGTTTCCTGTACTACTGATCACAGGGAGCATCTCTTGCCTGGGATCTCCTTTGTCTCCATGAGGCAGAAAAGGCCACCAGATGAGGGGAATCCTCACAGAATTCTGCTCTGTTCAGGTTGCTACTGGCAGCAGCAATTAGCAGACTTTCCCTGCACAGGAAACTATAGAAGCTGATGTAATTTTGTAATTTCTGTGGATCTTGTGTTGTTTCTAATGCTAAAAATTCAAGCACTCTTTTAGCTTTGAAGACATTTGCATTTTAATTAGGTACTTCAGAGATGTCAGGTGTTTCACAGAAAAATAGTGCCCTCTTCAACAGTTTTGTTTGCACCTTTGGAGAATAAAGTGAAAATCCTTTCTTGTAATACCTGCCCCAGATACTGAAGGGGAAGAATAGTGAGTTTCCTTATGATTGCTTTTGTTTTCGTCCCAGGTACAGTTACTTACAGAGGTACATAACAGAGCCACTGTCCTGCAGAAGAGACAAATGGCAGCCTTTGGTCTGGTACAGAAACTCTTTATTGGCAAATGAAGATGAGGAGAGCTCTGTCCTTGGCAGTTTGGGAGAGTGGCACCCTGTGGGCTCATCTAAGACATCTTCTTTTAAAAGGAAATTGTCTAATGGTATGAAAACTTCCCAGTTCTTGATCAGCTGTATTTTCTTTATCTGTCTGGCAAAACTGCTGTATTTGCTATTTTGCTTTGCTGTAGCAAATTTGCATATGCTAAAATGTATTTCATGCTTTGCATTAGCAGTAGAGTACCATGGTGTGCTGGGTGTTGAGGACTTCCCAGTTTGAACTGTGGTTTTTGCCTTCAGCCTTGTGGTTGTTCCAAGTCCCTTGATCACTCAACAGCAGCAAGGTTGGGCTGAGAACTCCGAGTGAGGAGAATTCAAGATTATCTGAATTCTACTGTGTACTAACATCTGGCATTTGTCTGAGCCAGAGACTTGGTTGATTGCTTTTAATTGTTAACTTAAGAGCATTGTTGCTTTAGGCCCTGTAGATAATTGAGACAGGAGAGGTATTTCCAGAACTCAATTCAGATCTTCATGCCAGATTATCTGGGCCAAATCATCTTCTAGGGTTTTTCTCTCTGTTGAATTTCTAGGGAGCCAGTAAGATTATACTCCTACCTTAAAGAATTCTATTTAGATGGTCTGCATCCAGGCTTTGGCAGCATTTATGGACTGCCAGTCTGTAGTGAAGTATTCACTGCATGGATATGATAGGACTTAGTTAAAATGCAATAAAGCCATTATGAAAACAATTGCTAATTAAAAGCTAAGTGTTATGGACATGTGCAGTTGTGTGTGGAGGAAAGGAAATTTTCCCACAGTGTCCTTTAGTTTCTTTCTCATTCTTTCTCATAAATCTTCTTTTCAGTGACTTGCCTTCAGAGAGCTTGTTCCTTTGTATCCCCAAAGGCCCTCCTTTCTTGAGCATAATACAGACTCAGCAGTACTGATAGCAGTTATGGACCAGGGCCAAGTTCATAAATCTAGATTGCAGAAATGACCAGTGGGCAAATTAAATGGATTTTCTTTTAAGTGGCATATAGCTGTCTCTTTCAATAAAGGAATGCTTTGCTCCAGATGTCCTTTTGAGCTTGGCCTGATTGTTTCTCTGCTGTGGGGAACATACTGGAAATGTCCATCTCAAGACCTCTGAGGATGAGGCTGAGGCTGAAGAATGACTGTGTTCACTCTGTGTTGCAGGGTCTTTGCCTGAAACCAGCCAGACTGAAGCAGAAAGCAAAGCCCCAGAACAGCAGTGTGCTTCTCAGCTTCCCTCTGCAGCAGGGAAAAGCAGAAAGAGGCTGAAATCTAAAGAGATGCGCTTGCAGGAACATTTGCCATTCCTTTGTCCAGGAGGGTTGCGTAGAAGATACTGGTGAGAGTTTGATGTCTTACAAACCTGTTCTGGCATTGACACTTGGGGTCTTCCTATCCACCTTCTGGGATTTTTGTAATACTTCATGAGCTTAGGGTGTGTGCCCCTCCTGTCTTTTTTATGGGCTGTATCCCATGGACAGGTTGGGTTTTTTTGTTTCCTTAGTCCAATATCTACATTTGCTGCTTTCTCCTGCCACTGTCACAGGGCTTCTGTGCCTTCTTGGAATAATATCAAGTGTGCAGAGACACAGTGGAAAAAGACAAGGGTGGAGGAAAGTTCCCTGTCCCACTTGCCGTGTCCATATTGAAGATCTGTGGTGCTAGTTACTCTCAGGCTGCTTCCTGCAGCCAGTCAATAAGTGTTTTCTCCATCTCTGGAAATGAAAGAGGATTCTTGTCTCTGCAGATCTGCTGTTAACCACTGTGTACCCTGTGGCTTTCTTTTAGAGACATGTTGGTGTGCAGCATGCAAACATGCCCCAGTGAAACCCCATACAACTTGGATGTGAGAGAGGTGTTGCAGAAATAGGGAGTCTGCAGTCTACTGTTGAGCAAAGTGCTCAGTTGCAGTGTTTTCCTTTAATTCAGTTAATTTATTGAGGTGTTAGGTGCCATTTCCCCTGTTAGTAGGTTAAAAGGTGAAACACAAATCTTGGGAAGATGCATACTTTTCCACGTTTTGGGACACTTGTTAAATGGACCTGGTGAATACAAGTAAAATAGAACAAAAATTTATTAAACGTGAAGGCAGCCCCTGTTTAAATCAGTGTTTTTCTGAATGGCTTTATTGAAAATTCCTCAGAGCATAGCCTGTTTCATACTGGGAAATTCTGGGCCAGTAACTTTAGGCTACCTTACATGGCTATGAGCAGCAGATCTTACTAAGTGAAATACAGTGCCTTAAGCACACTTTTGCCATGTGCAGCCTCTGTTATATCTCAAGACTTAGGGTTTTTTTTTTGTTTGTTTGTTTGTTTTTTGTTTCCAGCAAAGATGAGGTTAAGACAGAAGATGTCTCCGAGGAGGGTCCAGAAGACACAGTTGAAGATGTTGATGTCATTGGTACAGACCAGGTAATTCTGGCTGATTTTCCAGCTCTGAGGACAGCTGTAGTTGGTGGGTCAATGTCAGGTCAGAGTCTCCTGGATAGCTATGCAGCAGCAAAGGGGGTTGCTCTTTTGTGACCCTTTTCAGGATGAGAAAAGGTGATTGCCCTCTTCCCTTTCCGGCTTCAACTGTAGTTTCCTCCTTCAGCTCAATCTACATTTTAGAGGCAATCCTTTTTGTAGCATCTAGACATCCTTAGGTAATTTGTAAGGATTGAATGTCACTTAGGATGCATTAATAGAAGGATCCCCTTTCTTTTTCCCCATACTGTGAAGCTTCCTTATTAAACAGCTATTTGCTGCAGTTGCTTCGTGTTGCTGACACATTGCAGAGATGGCACTGCTGCATGGCCTGCAGGGAGTACCTACCTCAGAAATGGTGTTTGCATTTTCTCTTTAAATTGAAAGATTCAGAATGTGTCTGATCACTGGACAGCCCTGGGCTCTTGCTGGAGTATCCCATGTGTCTTTCCCTTTTCCAGTCAAGGCTGTTGGGCAAATTAAATTGTCCTCGAACAAACTGGGGATTTGAAGGGAAGCATGAGAACATTTTGGGCTTGGAGTGGCAACCAGCATAGCCAGAGGCTTGTCTCCTGGGCACTGATTGCCTTTGCGATCCAAGTTTGGCAGAGCTGCAGCTCTCTGCCTGGGCCTCAGCTCAGCCCTGGACTGGATCCTTGCAGCAGGGAAGGACTTCTAGCCCTTTGGGCCCGTGGAGTGCAAGGACTCAGACAGGATGTTGTACAGCAGGGTCTCGTGCAGTGACTGTACAAGGAAAGGGGTGGAGGGGAAAGGAAGGCCATGATTTTTCCTGTGCTGCAGCTAATCATAACCCTTCTGCTCCCTAAAGTTTTCTGTGTCAGCCACTACAGGGGGCTAAGCAGTTCCTTCAGGTTTTTCTTCTGTATTTCCCTCTGTTGTCTGGACTTCAGAACATAACTCAGTGTTTGGCAGATCGTATTTTTGCAGTGAGTCAGGCAACCCCTTGATTTCCAGTGACTGGTTATCTGGGATCTAACCACCACATTCAGACTTTGCATGATTTTTGTCTTTTTAAATGAGATTTTGCTGTAAAGTTCAGCCAGCGTTTTTTTAAAACATGCTGGGCTTTTCTTTTTAAAGAGGACTATAACGGGGGAAAAAGGGACTTCTACTTTTTCTTTCAGTCATATGCATGTTAAAATGTAGACAGCTTGGCCCAAGTACTTGAAGCAGCTCCTACTGCAGTTAAAATTAGAAGATTTTAAAAATTAAAGCCATACAGAAATTGCATTACTTATGCAGTATGTTGCCTTTCTCTGTAGTGCCTTTTCTGGGCTTTTTGGGGTACGGAAATTATTCTTTCCTTTTGTGGAAGCTGTAGTTCTTTATAAGAGCTGGCTCTGTGGCTAAGCTGCTGAATGGTTAGATGCTACAGTTACTCAGATTCCGTATGGGCTCTTAGATGATGTCTGCCCCATAGTAGAGGACTGACTTAATTTCTGTTTTCTTGTGATGTAGGACAGTTAAAGACACTGAGAGGATGAACAGAAGTGAAGCACACGCTGTTTTTTCTGCAAATTGTTTAACTTGTCAATGTGGTGTGAGAACATCAACTGAGGTGGCAGGAGACATGGATCAAGTTGTCTCTGTGCCCATGGGCATCGACCCAGAACCAGTTTGTAGCACGGTGGTTGATTTCCCACCATTGCTGGTTGTGGGCATTACTGAGGTGGCTGCTGAAGTTCTAGGATAGAGTGTTCTGAGCATCATTACTCAGCTGCATCCTGATCCTTGGTGCTGCCTTGGAAAAGTTCACAGCTGCAGGACTGGAATCAGGGTATTGACAAACACTGAATCAAAGACACTGTGAACCAGGTGAGACAAGCTCATTTGAAGCATGTGGGGGCAGTGCTTTGCTGGCTGTGTTCTTTACTGTTTGAAATAACCAAATGGAGATCTGTGTCTTTCCTTGCACCTGGTGCAGGGAAGAAAGGAACCTGGCCCAACTGTGAGCACTGGGACCTGCTGGGTGATGGCAAGTGCCATTTCCTGCCTGTAAAATGGAAAACCTGGATCATTCATCTGAAAGTATCTCTGAATTCTATTGCTTAGAAAGATGTGGTTAGAGGTCTGCAAGCATCAGGACATGATCAGGAAAACTTGTGTCAAGGCTTCAGAGTAACAAAGAAAGAAACAGTGGACCAGCTGACTATTTTCCTCTGGAAGAAGTCCTTTGTACACTGACCATGTGGTATTTACTTGGAAAAAGCCTGGAAAGACAATGTAAATAGACTGTAAATATGGCCATTCGAAAAGAGGATGTTTTTGCATTAAGAATTTGCAAATGATCGTCACTCAAGAGTGTTTCAGTGGCAGTGGGCTGGGGAGCGTGGGCTGCTTTCACTGACCCTTCTCACTGCTCCCTGGAATTGTACATTGCAGTAATCATATCAGCTTTATTTTTTATTTTATATATATATATCTATATCTATATTTTGGATTGTAATTGTGTAAAATAAACTACAGAACTATAGCTATCCGTTAGTACTGAACGTGTAAGTGATACTCCTACACCATGTCTGGAGAATGACAGCAAATGTTTGCTGGTCTTTGCATTTGTTGTGTTATTTCACAGGCTGAGCAGGGAATTCCCATGAAGATGGAAATGAAAGCCATGACTGTTGCCCAGGTATTGTGTACACTGAAGTGGCCACAGTGAATCCATGATTTTCCTTGTGCATGGTGTGGAGGCTGCCACAAGGGAGGTGGTTCTCAGGTTCAGTAACTCCCACTACCTTGGCTGGGGTACTGATGTTTCCCCTTATCCATCTGTGGATTAATTTGTGGATCTAGGCCTAAGCACTCACCAGGGAGGCAGAATACAGCTTAACTGGGAAAATAGTCATACCTGAAACCACATCAAACATATGGATGCTTTAATTTTTGTAACAGTGGGCTTGGGATGGGAATTTCCCCGCAGAGCAAGGTCCAGTAATCCTCATAAACTCATGTATTTTAAGAAAAAGGACTTCTACAGAACAGCAGAATATGTTCTACTTAGGAAATAAGGGACTTGGTTAGCAAAAGTATAGTAGGGAGCAGGATTTGACAGGCACTTCGTTAAACACAAAGTGGCAACAACAGCTACAGGCTCTGCAGAAGAGATTGACCCTGCACCATAGTGCTGTGTGACAGAGATGTGTCACTGCATGCTAGGAAGGCCTGTGGCTGTTTGCTGCCCAGTTAAAAGCCCCCTTCTTGAGAAAAGTTTTAGGGTAGGGAGATGCATCTCTTGCAGTGGAACAGATATTCAGAACCATGTTCTGCAAAGCCAGTTGGTCATTCTTTCCCTGAGGGAACAGAGCTTAGCAGAAATGCTTAGTGTATCTGTACTGTTTAAAAGCCCCAAACCATCGGCTGTTAGTGAAAGGTATCCAGCCAAGCCTGGAGAAATTTGACATTGGTGAGTCTGTATTAAAACTGGAATAATTAACCAAAATCCTTCAAATGGTATTACAATTACTTGAGTTTTCCTCAGTAAGGTTCACCAGCACCTCAGCAATGAGTTTCTTGATATACAGGTGTGTAGATTTCTGCAGGAGCTTGTGTGAGGAGTTAAGCACAACAGGTTTCTCCCAGCTGCTCATCAAATACTCTCTTTTGGATGAAGAAAAAGCTGCTAAAGGGCTGATTGCTTTGCATATGCAGCTTGTTGGAATTACCCAACCAGACTGCATACCTGTGTAACATCCTATCTGAGTGGTTCTTTATTAAGACATGAATTGTATGCATTATGTAAAAATCAGAACTGTTAAATTACATGTATGAAAATCTTTATTTGAAAATACAAACCGGTTTTTAAAACATTTTAAAAGATCTACACTGCAACCAAAAAAATAACTTACATCTTTTTGTACATTTTTTTCCCAACAAAACCTGTTTAACAGTTAAGAGTGAGGCAACAATTTCAAGCTGCTGTGACACTGATGAATATCCATGGAATGTGTCAATAGCAAACAAGCAAAGGGGAGGACAGACAAAAGCACTGAATGCCCACAACAGATTAGTGCACATCACTGATCAAGTAACATTTATACAAAGGGTTAAAAAAAAAATTGGTTCCTTCTGCATGAATTAACACACCCATTTTGGATCAAGTATGAATGCTCAGAATTAATTGTTAAATAATCTTTTTATGATTAACATAAATGAAAAGACTGAAGTTTAAAAGGGCATGCAAAATTAAAGCTGGGGCAAAGAAGGACTACACAGAGAAGAAAAACAACTTGTCTTGGGTGTTCACTTTAGGGTATTCTAATATGCATAGCTTGTCAGACAAAACTCTGCTTGTAAATGAGGGCTGAACTGTGCACTCATTGTCACATCTCTTCCTTGCCATGGCATAAAACCTGAAAGAGGGCTGTCTGTGAGCATGAGCAAACTGCAGGTGTAAATTGTCTCCTTACCTCCCATACCAGAACAGAAATACCTGTTCACAGGTGAGATGGAGATGGTCAGTGCACCACACATCACCCAAGATAATTATACAGTTCTCTTAAAAACAGTAGATTACTTTTCTCTTAAGTCAAATATTGTTATTCTTCCAAAAAGGAATTATGCAACATCTGAAAATAAATATTTTAATCTATTTTACAAACGATAAACTATTGAATAAATACAAAAATCTCATCATTTCATATAAATGCACTTCTTTTACTTAAAAGGTAGTGTAGTGATTAGATATTTTTAGCACAAAACTAAACTGACTTCCTGGAAAGAAGCCCCACTGAAACGTATCAGTGTGTAGCAGACCTGCTGCAGACTGTCCCTTCTCTTCTGCAAGTGCTGACCATGAGTAACCTCTATTCAAAATCCTCATCATAGTCATATTCATCCAAGTCTACATCAGCCAGATGGGAAGGCATTTCAAAAAATGGTCTTTTCTCCATTTGATACTTTAGAACACTGGCTTTCTGATGGTCTACAGGATTCAGTTCTGCTTCATACCTAGAAGCAGACAAAAAAGAAAGGATAATTAAAGAGTCTAACGATGCCAGGAAGTGCCTAAATATTGGAACACTAACAAGGCTATTGCAGGAAGAATATAGATCCCAATATTTTCTAATAAAGAAACATAACCCGAACAGCACCAGGGTTCTGTAATAATTCCCTGAATTTAAGTTAGCTTACTCTCCTATCACATGCTGAACTTTCCAGCGTGAAATGCAGCTCTGCTGAAAGGATTCAAAGCACACACTGCTCCAGTGGAGTATTTATAGGCTAGAAATGGTGAAATGCAAGACTTTTAAGTACTTGCCAGAAACCTCTCAAGTTTTTTCAAGAAAGCTGAAGTGAGGTTCAGTTAAGAAGAACGAAATACAGCTGCAGTAGGTATGATAAAAGAGAAGGAATACTGGATTGAGGGTCTTACTGACATGTGCATGAGCACCAAGAACTGATAGCAACTGTACTTTTAAGCAGATTCTGGAAAGCAAAACCCAGGTGTTAACCCAGAAATTATTGATAACCACCTGCTGCTGATGCAGATGAATAGATGGATAATGAAATATAAGTTTAACTAATGCAAGCCAGTGAAGGCTGATATTTCAAAAAGGTTAGCTTCAACACTTTAGGTGGGATCAATCTATAATTCATAGCTGTTAAAAAACTAACAAAGTCTCAGTGGAGATTTATGGTAGCAGATTAAAAAACTGACCATTTCCTGGGTAGGGTGACTCAGGTTCATGTATGTCTTCCCAACCAGTACTGAATTTCATCACATGTTTTTTTTTTCTATCTACTTAACAAGACTGTGCAGAGAATGAACTTTAGATACTGCAGTTCTTGTTCTTTAAAATTGCTTTATAAAGGCATTATGTGCTTATCAGCTCCTCTTTCAGAGAAAGACATAGGGCAAAGTAGAGTTAAATACTAAGAATCCACTACGAACACTAAAAGAGAGCAGCACCTTGGGTTTCTCCCATGAGTTCACCACCAATTTAAACAGAAAACAAAAGTCATCTGAAAGTTCAATTCACCAAGTTACAAATTTAAAAATAAGGGCTTGTAAAAAGAGATGCATATACTACAATAAGAGTTTTGGCTCACATATGTGTACTTGATAGTCTCATACACCATTAATCACACATTTTTGAGAAGGATGTGTTTATTCTTTTTTAAATGAATGGTGATGAGGCTGTACTTTAGTAGAGAGGATTCATATCAGCTCTCCTGCTGCATTCTTACCCATCATTCCACTGGTCACTTGCTGCCTCTTCTGCTACCAAGATATCATACTCTTCAGCAGCGTATTTCTCCCAGTCAGAGACCTCTTGACTTTCACCTTCACCATCCTAAGCAATCATGTTGCATGTTACACAAAACAGTATTAATTAATTAATTAAAACAGTATTAATTGCTAAGCACGTAGCTATAAAGACTTTTAAAGCTTCAATACTCACCCGCAACATAGAAAACTGATCCTTCTGTTCATGGTCAAGGTATTTTTCAATGTTGAAAAAAGTATCAAAGAACACATTTGTCAACTTACATCGCTTTAAATCATGCAGAGTAATTTTTCCTGTAAAGAAGATTATGAGATAAGAATATTAAAATTATTAGAGCTGAAGTTATCCTTTCTCAAAAGTGGAGAAAGGTGTACATTATCTTTACTCGGTCATCACTGCTTAACAACATTTTTCACTGATCCTCAATCCAATGGGAGAGATGCAAACAGATGAAATATACACCTAGAGATGTATTCTTCAAAGTGTTCAAAACTTTGAAATGGTTCAGATTTTTTTCCTTTCCGTGGTTGTCATATCCCACAGCCTGTCAGTATGTTGAAGTGAGATGCAGTCTACCTCTCTCAGCTAGTAAAAATCATTTGAGGTATTTGTTTAAGTTTCCTTAACAGATAGAAGTCTCCAGTGAGTTAACCATTCCTTCCCAGGGAGTGCTTGGGCAGCAGATAGGAATCTCCTATGGCAGCAGCCCTCTCTCTTCCCTGACTTGAGCAGACAAATGTATGACAGAGATGACAGTGTGTGACTATGCTTCATACAGATGAATTTTTCATAGAGTCAGGGTTGCCACACTTGTCCAGTCGGATCAGTATTTACTGCTTGAGAGGAAAGCTAAATGCTTAGAGATGTTTTGTTTGATTTTTACAGTGTGATACTTTAAAGTCTCCAATCAATGGATATGTTAAGCTTTAGAAGTATTTGTCAGGTTGTTCAGAAATATTACCTATTTCAAAGCTAAATATTGAAGTTTCTGCAGAAAGGCTAAAAAATATGAGATACACAAGTGAAGACAGATGACTATCCTTAAAACTCCCCTTTATTGATTCACTGGAATACAGTCTTCCATTGTTAATCAAATAGGAGCTAACTGAAGATGTTATGGAGGAGTTGAAAAAAAGCCAGACGTGGAACAGTACTTCCTTAGCTTACTGTCCCAGCCTCTAACAAAGTGTAACTCAAGGACATCACAGGGAAGCAAAATCCAAATCCTGTTTGTACATGGTTGCCACGCTTGCATCTGTCACGAAGGGCCCCAGTGTGTTCTGCCTGGCTTGTCACTGGTGCTCCAGAAGGGCACAAATCCCCCGTGGCACCTGTGCTGTATCTGTCAGACCCACACAGATGTCTGATGCACTGCGCCATTTCAAGTGGCAGCAGCTCTCCACAAGCAAGCAAATTATTTGAATCCTAGTTACATAAGCTCCCAGTTTAAGTAAGTTAGACTCCTATATTTGGTTCATTGATTTGCCCTCCAGTTTCCATTTATTACAATGGGAGCTTAGACATGTAATACTCATGTAGATGCCAAGCACTGTCTCAAACACCAACAAAACAGGAGTAAAATTTAATTAATTCAGGACTCCAGAAATTAAAGTTTACTTTTTAGCACACAGAGCATTCTATAGAAACTGTATCACAGTTTAGTGATAACCTTATGAAAGTGTCTTCTATTGTTTCAAAGCTACAAAGTGAAACATCAGTTTATGCTGCTAGTCTTTTGTATTAGAAAACCAGATTTTTTTCTTAATCCACCTTTTAAACATAATTCAGTTTTTACTTAAAAAAAAACAAGAAAACAACCCTTCTCAACTGGCTTTAATTTTTGCTACCCTGAATAAACTCATCTTGGTTGTGTTCAATAGCCTTCTTTTATCATCCTCATGACATAGAGGAGATACATTAATCTTGTTTCATTTAAAATGCAGAACAGAAATATTATAAATGCCTTTTGGAAGCATAACATAAGACTGGAAGGGAACTACTGAGCTCAGGAGGTGATTGTGAGCAACCACATAACATAAATGTGCTTCTCAGAGCTTAGCTCACTTCATTTTTAATGCCCCCTAGCTCCCATGCATTACACATTGTTGGCCTAAGACTTCATTCCACTGATACCAACTGAGTGCTCTTATGGCTACACTAACTCCTAAATCCAGAGAAACAGAAGTTAAAGATGGAAAAGGAGTTTATTACCTTCATGTTGTGGCTTTACAAGGTCCAGCATCTGGCACAGACAGTCTTCAAAGGGCAAAGGTTCTATGGCCATGTTATCTAATTTTTGGCATTGTTCTTCATAAAAATATTCCAATTCATACATAGACAAAGCACCATCCCCATCAAGATCCATGCAGCGGAACCAGTATTCAATGCTGAAATTCAGTCATTAACAGCAAAGAGACAAACTTACTACAGAATTTCAAGAAGTCATATTGCCTGTTTCAAAGGCAATACTAAAAACTAGACTTAACAGTACATTCCACTAATCCATGGAAAGTCATTGAACACCACCTACTGTG